GTTGCATCCCTATTTTTTTCTCTTTACCCAGTTTCTTGTCTGTGTTGCTAATGACAGAATCTAAAAACGATCGCTTCAATCATCTAAACAGGAAACCAAGAAAATATTTAGCATAATAGATTATTCTTACTTTTCATGAAGATAAATTTCTGTCACTTAACATATTAATTAATTGACGAGTTGTGGCAGTGTTTATAGTAAAAATATTAAGTGAATTAATAAGAAATTAGAATAAGAGTCAGAAAATGAGGATGATGTTAATTTTCCAGGTAGTTTCAGTTTATTCATTCATGACCTTCCAATAAGTTTCAAGCCGCTAATTAAAGACTTTAGCTGAACACCAACTGTGTTTGTCCTGCTCCTCTGCAGGCCGTGGACTCTCGAGACTCCATGGCCATGGCACTTTATTCTCAGTGTTTCAACTGGATCATTCGCAAACTCAACACCCGCATCAAGGGCAAAGAAGACTTCAAGTCCGTCAGCATCCTGGACATCTTTGGATTTGAGAACTTTGAGGTATGTTTAGGAAAATTCCTCCTTAAAATGTCAATATAATGACCAAGTATTATGTGGTTCTAAATGGTTAACTCAGGAAAGAGCAGTCTGTGAGTCCACTGTGACATGAGAATGTAATATTCCCTGTGGGACAAATAAGTTTATTAAATGTAACTGAGTTCAATTAAATTTCAATCGCTTGTTCAAGCACATTCGAATAAACTCAGCAGTAAAACTGTATATTTCCCCTCCCCAAGAATTTTAATCATACTTTGTTTTTAATCAAGAAATCGGTAAATAACCCTCAGGGATTCCTCGTTTTCCAGTTCATTAAGTCTTCGTCTTTGTTTTCTGTGTCTGATTTTCCCACAGGTCAACCGCTTTGAGCAGTTCAACATCAACTATGCAAATGAGAAGCTTCAGGAATATTTTAACAAGCACATTTTCTCCCTGGAGCAACTTGAATACAATAAGTAGGTGGAGGTTGTTTGTTCGTGATGCGTCGATTTGTGATCTAGTGCTACTTTGCTGTTTGTTAAGACAACTGTAAAGTTTCCAGGCCGTCCAGGTCAACTCTTTGATAGTTATGTTACCTTTTCATACATTAATTAATATTAATCTATCACATTAATATTTTAGACTTTATTTTAACATTATCAAACTAAACTAAAGATCGACACATAGACCAGTAAAGTAGAAAGTACTCCTAAAGATTTTATTTAGTTAATGTTGCAGCAGGAGGTGCATGCAAGGAAGTCTTAAATGAAAATTGGTGAAAAGAAAAGAATCCACATATTATTAATGTCGTTTTTGATAATTTCTTTAAGTGGCTCGTGGTGCTGTGAAACGCTGCCACTTTCAGCCAAGTATTTGTTACTATTATAAACCCACAAAAATGGAACTGAATCATTATCTCGTGCTGAAAACTTTGATTGATTGATTGAATCTTTATTTTGAACATGTTGAAAAAGTACAACAACATAGAATTAAAAGAGACAAATGAACAAAGCAAAACAAAAGGAAAACGAGCAACCACAACTACAAATAACTTTC